CCAGGGCCCTCAGGAGCCGGACCGCTGACCCTCTTCATTATTTTTTTAATTCCTCATTACCTCTCTACCTAACTCCCAGGCTCCTGGCCCCTGGCAGGCAACCGTTCAAATGCATTGAACACGTATCTTGTTAAACATAGGAGTATGCTTCCAAAACATTTTATCCTTTCGTGTGCATTTATTTCTATCACACAAAGGTCATTTTCCACTCAGTTCTACCTTTTGAAGCTCCCTCCATACTGCTGTGTTACACCTAAACCTGGTCCTTCCGCTGCTGCACGGTGCACGCTGACTGTCCATGGGGGCACACGGGGGCTTTCTCCCAACACAAACGATGCTTCAGTAAACACTCATCTCCATACGTGGCCCCTCGGGGATCTGTGCAAGAATTCCTCAGGGATGTACAACCAGGAGTGAAGTCGCCACATCACGAGGTGTGTGCACACTCTGTTTGGGCAGGTAGCTCTATGAGTCAGCTAGAGCCGCCCGTGCCAAGGACCACAGAGCGGGTGGGTTAAAGAACAGGAACTTACTGTCCCTCAGTTCTGGAGGCTGGAAGTCAGAGATCAAGGTGTCGGCAGGGCTGGTTTCTTCTGAGGCCTCTCCGCCTGGCTTGCAGGCAGCCACCTTCTCCGTGTTTTGCCATGGTCTTCTCTCTGCAAGTGTTTGTGCCTTAACCTCGTCTTACAAGAACACCAGTCCTATTGGATTTGGGCCCACCTGTATGATCTCATCTTATCTCAGTGAGCTTTTAAAGGCCCTATCCCCAAATACAGTCGCATTCTAAGGTTCTAGGGGTTAGGACTTCAACATCGGAATGGGGTGGCACGTTTCGCCCGCACCAGTAGCATCGCTCTTCACATTGGCTGTGCATGAAGTCCCGCATCCCCGCAGTCCCTCCAGCACGCGGTGCATCCAGCTTCCTAAGCTGTTTCTAAACGAATGGGCGTAAGGTGATACCTTACTGTTGTCATCATATGTATTTCTCTATATTTCTAATGATCTTAAACATCTTCATATGCTTTGGGGGTTTTCTCTTCTTCCAATTGCTCGTTTTTCCATTGAGGTGGCTGTCTTCCTTGCTGACATACAGGAACTGCTTGTGTATTATTCCCTTCTTGGTTTAAGTCATTGTAATTACTTCTATCACTTAACTTTGCCCATGAAATCCTTATTTGTACAAGATCAAATTCATCAATCACTCTGTTTTAAGGGCTATGCCCGTGATATTTGTTTAGGAAGCACTTTTTCTTCCCAGGTCACAGACTCTCCTTCGTGCTCTTCGGCGAACTTTTATAGGCTGTGCCTGGCACACCCGATCCACAGTGTCTTAGGGTTGACTCAGCAGAGCCGGGCACACAGGGGGGCCCTTCCTCTCTGGGCCTCTCTCTCCCACTGCCATGGCCAAGGCTCCTTGGGAGCTGTCAGGCAGTTCTTCTGCTACCTGGCCCTGTCCGGGGTAGATAGCCCAAGAGAAAGAAATTTCATCAGCTTGAACTGGTACCCAGACCTCCTAGCCCAGAAAAGGCACCCTTCGTGGGCCCAGGTCCCCTCTTAGACTTGGCGGGTGTTGCCGAGTGGTAGAGAGCACCTTGCTCCCGGCCCAGGGGAAGGAGCTCTGGGCCGCGCTGTACTGGCTCCCTGGCACAGGCCTCAACTTCCCCATCCCGAGCAGCGAGGGGGTTGAACCAGATGGTATCTTAAAGGCTCTGCCAACTCCCAAAGCCCAGAACTCAGTAACTCAGATGTTTATTTTGGAGTCTTTGCCCTCCTCCAAGAGATTTTGTGCAGGACAGATGGTGGAGAGAAGTTTGGAGCGTGCATTTCCCCATGTGTTTAGAGCATGATCAGGGGAGGTTGGTGCATTTGTTTCCTTTCTGGGAATTTGATCAGCTGCCACAGGACCAACCTCTGCAAAAGGGCCCAGTCCCCATGATGTGGCTGGCAGCTGCGCCTCCTAGTGGCCGTCTCGTGAGGGGGCTCCTGGGAGATAACTCATCACCCTCGGAGTACTGGGGAGACCAGAGCCCAGAGCAGGGCAAGTGCCTGCCCCGGGACACAGGGCCACACAGGGACAGAGCCTGCACGGAAGGCAGGCCTCCCAGCCCCCAGGGCGGCACCTCGACTGCTATTTCGGTTTTCCCAAGGTCCTTCCTGGACCCAGGACTGCATTCCAGGGTCTGGGGACTGGTGCTGAAGGCTCCTTGCGTCCTTGCACCTGCCTAGACCTCACTGGACAAGAGGGCCTGAGTTTTACTTCTCACAACACATTCCCCTCCATTATGCCAGGCCCAGGAAAGGTGGACCCAAAACTCAGAATTTTTCACACAAATACAAACACACAAGTTAATCAGCACCTTAGATTTATTCTCCTCCCACTTCTGAAGCCACCTTGTCTAATGTACATATACACAGTATATAAATGGCTATACAACATTCTTTACATACAGTAGCACAACTTTAGGCTTCACTGCTGCGTGGAAGTTTGTTCCAAGGTACCCGTCGTTTACTCAAAATAGCTCTTTGTTAAGACATGAAAACAGTGAGACGCTTGTACAACACAGCAAGCACTCAAAAGGAGTATGGGAAGTGGTTGCTCTGGCTAAACCAGCCTCAGCCTTTTATGCTTTTAGTAGAGAAGTCCATTAAATAACATAGAACCCGGGGTGTCATATGAGTAACTCATTAGATAGGACTTCCGAAGCAAGCCCTGAATCACATAGGCATAAAGGTTAAAGAAGGTCCGATGTACCAAGCACAGGCTAGAGGAACAGAGTGGATTTGGTAAATTTAGCCTAAATAAAAGGCGCTTCTGGGCAACAGCTCCGCCATCAGTACACACCACCAGGTGTTTCCATATCCGGCCATTCCCAGACTTTACTGACAAGCCCATTTCCACAGGTTCCCTGCCAATGACGTTGCCCCAGCAACAGAAGTTTGACATCACTGCTCTCAGCCTGGAAAACCAGAGCTCTCTTCATCTGGGGACAGACCTTAAGGTTTGGTCCCTGGCTCCCTAGGACAGGCCCCAACCACAACCAGCCACGCCGGCCTCCCTGGATCCCGAAGGACCCAATGCCAGAGGTACCAAGGGCTGTGTGCCTGGGAGGCGGGAGGCAGGTCCAGGCGGCAGGTTCTAGGGTGACAGATGAGGCCATTCACATTGTAGCGCCATAAAATACCCCTTTTCTGTAAAGGCCAGAAGACATGGCCGCGCCGCGCTGCCTGAAGCAGGCAGAGGGACCTCTGTGTAGCGGGCAAACTCAAAGCCTTCCTCCTGCACATGCACAACGGGTTCGCCCCATGTTCTCCCCGACTAGGCTTCTGTCCTCAGGACAGCACGTGGGCGGAGCAGGCTGACATGAACACCATCTCCCAAATGTGGACGCTGGGGCCGATGCACAAGGATATGGCCACTGTGGTGCGGGGCTGAGGGTCTGAGCCAAGCCAGGCCTTCTGGCAAGTTGACGGGCAAGCTCCTTCCCCAGCCTCATCTCTCAAGGGCACGTCTGCTCTCCCTTCTTCCGGGCAGGATTCCGTGGAGGAACAACGGACTGAAACACCAGAGCAGGGGTGCACATCCAGACGCCGGTCCCCAAGGCCTCGCCTGTGTGGAACCGAGCAGCAGGCTCTCGGAGGGCCACCTGCCCTGCATGTTACGAGTGGCCGACCCCTTCACAGAACAGCCCTGAGTGGAGGTGCAGCCTGCGGCCCCCACTTGCCAAGGGGCAGCTGCTGTCTTCCAGCAGGGAGCCCCCAACTCTGTTCCCCGACATCCCTGCTTCCCACGCCCCCAAATAACTGGCCTGACTGGCTGTTGTCCATGACTCTGAGCAGTGCCGCCCACCAAAGTGCAACTTCTCTCCGACCTCCGACCCCCGGCGTGTGCGGAAGCTCCTTGGGGTCCATGGGGAGAAAGCTGGGCCCCAGTGCAAGCTGCCGCCCCTCAAGCACCTGTACCACCCTATCGATTATGATTAAAGGTGGCTTTCCCTTCCCTGCAGGGTCCAGTTTCAGCCTCTGTGGGCAGGGCTAGAGTAGGGAGGGCTGGGGGAGGCCGAGAGGCGGGGGAGACTTGGAGTGTGGCCTCTAGGAAGAGGACAGGGAGCTCAAGGCGAGATGCATGGAAATGATGATTAAACGTTTGCGTTTCAGCACTTATTCAAACACCCTACTTCCCACCTCTTAGAGATCTTTAAACTGTTGGGCCTCGATTCACAGCGCCTGTCAAGAGTTCCCAGATAACGGGCGTGCCAGCCTGGGGAGCAAGGCCAGGGGCGACGGCCACGCTCCTCCTGCCACGGGCAGTGGGGCCTCTAGGACCGGAGGGACTACCTCCCCAGATTCGCCCGACTCTGTCCACCCCGAGCCCTGAGCCTCACCGCCCCCCCCCCCCATCCTGCCCATGGGGCACAACACACTCTGAAGCTCCACATTTGTCGCTTCTGGCAGCAGAAGGCACTTTTGAGGTTTTGTTTCAACATTCTTTCATCTGTTCCCAGATCTCGCCCTGTGAGGTGGGTTGGGCAGGGGGCATTTAACCAATGGGAAGACAAAGGTGCTGGCACAGACTGAGTCCGTGGTGAAGCGAGACAAACTATGGCCACTTGCAGCCAGCTTTCTGACATCGAGGACGACACAGGAGGCCTCAAAGCTCCAGGCCTGGACCAAGGCAGCCCTGAGCCTGGGGTTCCCCTGGACAAAATCTCCAGATCTCCTTCTTTATCAGTATTTTCTTCCTCCAGTGAACTGAGCCTAAACAGTGTTTATGTAGCTGTTACTCTGTGCTGCTTGTCTCGTGTCTCCTTCCCCTTTAACTTGCAAAGGTAAGTCTCAAAGGTCAAGCAGGTGTTAAGCCAATCAAGCCACATCCACCCCAGTGCGGACGACGTGCCTGCCGGTGCGGGAGGCCTTCCCTGGGAGGAAGTCCTCCTCCAGGGCACTGCCTGGACTGCCTGCTGAGGGTGGGGCGCAGGCTGACGCCCACGGCAGCTGGGGCTCGGGGCTGCGCGGCAATGCCGACGGCACGTGGGCTCACACAGAAAGCGAGTCTTTATAAGCTGCTCTTACCAACTTTTAAAGCTTTTTTTGTGCTTCTACCATAAAAGGATCTGTCTTGCCTCCCTGGCTTCCCACTCCATTTTACTGTCTCTTCAAAATTACCTCCCAGAAACCCTGACCATTTCACCTGCTGCCCATGCAGAAAAGCAGCCGATCCAAAGCCAATGGAGAGACAACTCTGAAGCTGCCATCTGAGGGCGTTGCCAATAGATCTTTCATGTCCAGGTATTTTATTTGATGAAAAATAAAAAATTGTATAAGAAAATAAAATTACTCTGGCAACATTTCCCCAACAGTTCCCAGTCACATAAACTTGTTTTTCTTGAAGTGATACCAAGGTAGCTCAGTACAATACACCACCAGTAATACTCAGGTACAACTGAATTCCCTGAAACAATAGTCTTGCTTTCCCCATGTGCTCAACATCTCTTGCAATGGTCTTCAAATTTTAAAAACTATCAAAATAGCATTTTTTAAAATTTATCAAGACTCTACGATTCAACTCAAAGTATTCCATGCAGCTGTGGTTGAGCTAGTCAGATTCCAGACTTCTGCCAAGAGCAATCCAAGGGCAAGCTTCCGAAATGGCCTTCCGAATGGTACTGGACAACCTAAGGGATCTGATTCAGATCCACGTTTTGGAAAACTATGGTCAATCAATATTGTGACAATGAGAGAAAGAGCAGTGACTTCTCAGAGCACACGGTTAATTATGTATTTATAAAGTTTTTAAAAAGTTAACACTTGCTTAATGATGAGGCCCTTGCTCTAATTCGGATGACTGGGCACCGTGTAGAGGAGTAGTTAAATTGGGAGGTCTTCTGGGAACAGGTACACAGGCCAAGTACACTCAGCCGCCACGTGCTAGGCTGATGGCAGCAACCTCTGCCACCTGCGTCTGTAAAGTGCCACTGTGTGCATCCGTGTGACTCACCTTCTCCAGTTTGTGACCCACTGCACGGAATCCTGAAATGCTCATTCCTGCCCCTGCTTTTAAGTTTATAATCCAGTAGCACTGGTTGCTCAATTAATTTTTAAAATATTCAGATACCCTGCAAATAAATACAAAATATTTCTGTTCCCACACAGTCCCACCACTATAAAAGGTTACACATAAATTAAATTGAGCTTTCTTAACCATTTTCTCAGCTTAAGTCTACCCTTACCCTATATGAAGATAAGTTCAATTTATACCCAAAATACATTTAACTATTCTAAAGGTATCATATTGGACAGAGGTTATCAAAACGATGTAAACAAAATTTATCTCGCTTATATTCATGAACCACATTTTTAAGTTTTTAATTCACCCTGTATTTGATCCTCTAGAAAAACTAATCAAGTCACACTTGGACCGCTGATATGGATTTTAAAGTGGTTCCTCGGAGAGAACTGCCCATTGCTAACGCTAGTATCATTGAATCTAGTGGTTTATTGCGTCATTCAGAGTAAAAGCCCCAAACGCTCCCACTCGGATCTCCCAGTAACGCCCTTTTGGAATCGAGCCCCCAGCACCTGCCGCCCCAGTGAACAGGGCCTGCAGCAACACGCAGCACAAAACTGGGCCCGGGCAGCGAGCGACCTCACGCCTCCAGCAGCACCTGCGGGAGCCCCAGGTCTTGCCATCAGTCCAGTTTGGTGGAAATGAACTCCGAGGATGAAAACCTGAGGTCAAGTCAGGAAGCCAGAAGGGAAACACAGACGACCGCCATGGGAAAATCGAAGGATCCATCCCTCACACTCCACAGTCCGGCTGCTTCTCCCGGAGCTGCCTCGTCAGTATCTGGTGTGAAGACAGAAAAGCCACTCCTATGTGGAAAAGGATCTGCCAGAGGTTCCTCAGCCCGTGCAGGTACATGTTGCCCAGGCAAATGAAGAGCAGCACCAGCACGACCTTCGCCCTCCTGGCTGGGCTGTAGAACAGGTACAAATAGCACTGCAATGACACCGGCAGGGGAAGTCCAATCAGAGGTAATAAAAGGGCCACCGGTCAGAGGCAAGATTCACTCGCCTTAGCTTAGGACACCACATTTGTCCCAGTGAGGCTGGGCCTCTCTGGGTAAGCTGCTGTCAACCACTGGATGAAAGTGAAGATTTGGAAGAGGGGGGCAGCGTGAAACAGGCATTGCAGGGGGAACTAGACATCGCACTCTTGAAAGCAGCTCAGGAGACAGAGACAGACACGCCCAGGCTGCGCGCTGCAGAGAGGGACAGACGGGCCTGAGGGACAGCCAGCCAGGCCCGGGCACCCTGACACGGCGGGCCTCCCAGTCAGGCCGGGGGTCGTGACGGGTGAGAAAGCCGGGGAGAGGAGCTGTGCTTTCACCCCTTTAGCTTTTCCTGGGTTACCATTACGCAGGGGACTCCTGTTCCCCAGGCCTCCCCTTATCGTGTCTTCCAAAGCACGGCTGAGACAGGGAAAGGTCTCACAGCAGGAAGAGCGACTGACATTTCGTGAGGGGCTATCCCGTGGAAAAGAGCCACTCTTGTTCTGCCAAAGGTGAAAAGAGCTTTTTGGTTCTATGTTTTTGCTTTGTTTTGTTTTTTAAAAAGCACATTCTCAAAACAGAGTAACCTGCCAAAGGTCCTGCTACAGTGGGAGGGGGCGCCGTCCCCATCGAAAGAGCTAACAAGTGAGAATGCAGCCGCGGGAGCGCAGGTGGACGGGCAAGGTCCCCGTTGGCCCCGCGGCGCGGCGTCTGGAGGCTTCCACTGGCAACTCCCAGGGCTCCAGGGATGTGTTTCTAAAAACTGAGTACGTTTTTAATTTGGGGTTGAAAATTTCTTTTTTGCACAATCATGTAACTCTTAAAAATAGACCATTTTATGATGTATGTGAGAGAGGATGTGCCCTAAGAACAAAAATTTTAATTAAAAAAAAAAAGACTTAAGCATGAGGAGAAAGTACTAAAATCCTAGCCCAGTGGAGGACAAGGAAAGAGAATTAGTCAGGTTTTTACTAGAATTAACTCTGCCCATAGGAGATTCTAAACTCCTTTTTATTCCACCCCTTACATATGCAGCTTATTTGAAAATAACTAAAATAATATTCAAAGCTCTCCAGTTAATGCTATAATTTTTGTTGCATTTCCTAAGGACAGATTTGAGTCAGGTAGTATTACTACTAAAAACAGGCCCTGACTGATGTAGTTCAGTTGGTTGGGCACCATCCTGCAAAGCTAAAGGTTTTGGTTTGATTGCCAGTCAGGGCACACACCTGGGTTGCAGGTTCGGTCCCGGGGGCATGTACGAGAGGCAGCTGATCCATGTTTCTCTCCATCTCTTTCTCCTTCCCTCCCTCTTTCTCTAAGAATAAATAAAATCTTTAAAAAAAACACAACAAAAAGAATTTTTTTTTTTACCTAGTCCTGTGTTTTAAAAACACATTCACATAGATAAGTATGACTTCTGCCGAACGACATTTTTCTTTTTTTTTTTTTAACCCTCACCTAAGGACATTTTTTATTACTTTTAGAGAGAAAGAAAGGAGTGGGGAGAAACATCTCTGAGAGAAAGAAACATCGATTGGTTGCTTTCCCATACATGCCCTGACTGGGGATCACACCCGCAACCTGGGCACGTGCCCCGACCAGGAATCCAACCCACACATTTTCGGTCTATGGGACAAAGCGCCAACCCCCTGAGCCACACCAGCCAGGGCTGTAGAAGGACATTTCTGTACTTGGATTGTCCAACAAGAAGCAGGAGGCAAGAACCCCCCGCCTTGATCTAGTCAGACCCGACCCAACCCCCACCGCGCTCTCATCCCTCCCTCCCTGGGAGCCACGTCCGAACTCCTGGTTTCGGTCTGCCGCTCCGAAAGGCCCTGTGGCCCAGGGCAACTGGCTTTCCCTTGTGGAGCCCAAAGTTCTTTCTCTGTTGAATGAGGGGACTGGGCAGGACTGGGCAGGATGGGCCTGGGTCCTTCCACTAAGAGTTGGCGCTGACTGTGATTTGATCCAAGGCCTGGGTGGAGCAAAAACAGAATCTAGAAAACTTGTTCATGGTTCCAACTAAAGAACAAAATAAGGCCTTGGCTTTAACCCACTCACCTAAATACGTTTCACCCACCTGGAAGATGCAGGCTACAAAAGGAATAAGAAAAGCCAGAATATTTCCAATTTCCTCATGAGCAACCTAAAACCAATAGGAACACAAGAAAAGGAATATTTTAGATGAAAGGAAACACTATGACACAAAGCGCTTCATTCCTCATCTGGGCGGGTGTGGATAACAGCGCAAAATCCCTGGCTGGGTGAGACACAGGTCCCTGTTTATGCACCAGAACAGGGGCTGACACGCAATCATCTTCAGGGACCCGGACGCACCATGCACCCTTCTGTCCCCACGCATCTGTGCTAAGCCCTCAACCTGAAATGCCCCCAGCAACCCCACCGCCTCTCAAAACCTTACTCCCGTGTCAGTACTAAGCTTTCCCTCACTCTCCCCATCCAGGGTACTGCCACCTCCTTAGTTACGTCACCACGCTCTGCTTCGTGTCCCCGGGGCAGGGACTATGTCTTCGCCATCTTGCTGGCCAGGCCCCAGTTCTAGTGTGTAGGACATTGGTAACTAACAGGTTACGAGTCATCATAAACAACAGGAGAGGGGACCACACCACCCGTGGGCCAAGACGGGGTCTGGCAGCAGGCAGTCACCGCTCTCCCAGCTCAGGCCGGCTCCGTCCCCCCGAAAGGCCAGCCTGCCTCAGTCCCGAGATGCAGCACCGCCACGCTGCAGGCTCTAGCCACCGCGCACATGGGCATGAGCATTACAGCTCTACCTTTAAAAGTAATCCCTCTGTTTATGCTCATGATGGTCCTATACTTTTTTAAAGTGTTGGAAATACTTCAAAATTTAAAAAACAGTATTTAAAAAACACTGGCATGGAAAGGTGGTTTGAGAGGAGCAGGTTTGAAAATCAACTTCCTAGTGATGGTTTTTGACAAGGACATGGAGAACTGCTATCTGCATGATATAAATCAGACTACGAGGCAACTTTTGCCAGGGGAAAGGAGCCTGAACTTTTGCCCTGGGTGAACGATCCAGGCCCTGCAGTGATTCCCGGGGTCCCAAGGGCCACGGGGTGGCCAGTTGTCCTTGTCTCACTCGTATCCTGAAGGCCCCTTTGGCTTCTTAGAAAAACAGATACAAAAGAGCATGTTTCATATTTGTTCAACTTCTACAAAGAACAAAGTTAGCAACTGAAATTCCATTTGAATTTTGAAACCTTTGTGCATCATAATCTTATAAATAAAATGAGTCCCCATCCGCTTCTTCCACCGTATGTCCTTCCATTTAAACAATAAAGAAAAGCTTACCTGTAAAGAGTGCTCTGCAAGGTGGACCCCACGGATGAGGTTGAGAGCGGCGCACATGATGTTGAGAATGAGGGAGAGGATGCCCAGGGCAGTCACTGGCTCCATTCGGAAATCAGGGGCTTCACAATTGAAAAAAAAATTGTCTAGTGAAATAATTTCATGAAAGAAAAATAAACAAAGACATTAACTAGACCTCCACTGACGATAGGTTATGCTGAACACACATATTAATTTAAAAGCAGCTGTAGCTAGAGGGGGGAAAGGCAAGAAACGAAGGGCAGAACGGATGTGGGAATCCAAGGTGAGTTCCTTCTAGAAACAAGCCTTTCCTTTTCTGAGCAAGCACAGATTTTTCAAGTGTTTCATTTCCTTTCTATTTAAAGCAGTGGTTCTCAGCCAGGGGCACTATAGCCCCTCAACAGAGAGCTGGCAGTGTCTCGAGACATTTTGGGTCGTCACAACTGGGCACAGGGCATTACTGGCATCTGCTGAGTAAGAGGCCATGAATGCTTCTAAACACCCTACAATGCACAAGACAGCCCCCACACAAAGGACTGTCCAGTACAAAATGTTAATGGGGTTGAGAAATCCTGATTTAAAGCAATGTATGGCTTCATGTGTAAATTAGCTGTCAATTTCCAAAAGCATTTCTACTACACACATCAACCCTCAGCTTGTAAAATGCTCCACTTTTTTTCTGACAAGGACAATATTCAGTGTCGCGAGCTTTCAGGGCAGTTCCCAGCAAGTGTAATTTTTAAAACTCTAAAATAATTGGGAAGAGGAGGGAAACATTGATTATTTAAGCCACAAGCTGTTTCTGGGACTCTGAAAGGAACAAATGATCACACTCTCCTCAAAGGTGACTGCTGGAGTTGATTCTGGTTCACAAAATTAAAGGGAGCTCCGTCCATGCTCTTGCTAGCTCTTTCCCAATCCCCCTTTCTTGTCCCTACATTCCCCGCCGACACGCACACGCACACGCACAGACACCTAGCCACAACCCACGGATGCCGATTGCCAGTTTGTTAGAGTTCCCACTGGGCAAGTCAAGTTCCTGTTAGAACGCGACATGCTGCCTGTAAAGATCCTAGCCTGAGGACAGCAGGGTGAGTCAAACCGGAGTAAGATGTCCTAGAAAGGCAGGCAAGGTGGCACTTTCTGGATTTGCTCCTCTTGTCCAAGTGGTTAAAAACAGAATGTATATTACGAAGTTACCCTGTCTTCAGATATGGCAAAGGAGGGACATGGGGCCCAACTACCCAGCCTCCTCCTTCCATAAAAGTTGAGTTCATTCCTCACATAAATTACAACTTACTGATTGGCACAACAGCCAATCCAGGAATTTGTTGGTTGAAACGTTAAATTAAAACACAAAGTTAAGCCAAAAACATGAACACTTTTAATATAGAACTTTTAAAATTCAAGCAATGAGTTTAGTATAAAAGAGTTAAAATAATTAGGTTGTTATAGTACACAGCTCTTTTCTTTCAGAACAAAATTCACCATTACAAAATGCTTACAGTGTAAACACCCACTTTAATTAAACATCGGTTTAATCATCACTGTAAACAAGGAGCGCCAACAATCATGCTCTGCTACACGCTAGGCACTGGGCGGCCAGGCCAAGCCCCAGGGTGCCGGGGTGCTGGGACCGCGCTCACTGACACCTCGCCCTTCGGGTAAGGGCTCGGCCGTCCAGCGGGACGGAGAACCAGACACTGGCCCCTGCCCACGCTCATTCCCACAGCGCCCCCTCCCCTCCATCAGGGGGAGCGGGGGCCTCTCGGTGCAGGTTTGCAATGTCCCACTGGGTGCTGTCCTGAGGGTTCATTGTCAAAGTTCAAGAGACAGGTAGACAGATGGAGGTGGACATACAAATCCATGTAAGCGGCTTCCAGCAAAAGGGAATGAACCTCCTCTACAACATTTAAACCTCTAGACCGCTCCCCGGCTAAGGAAACAATCTGCCAAGTCACTCTTTTCCTGAATTTCATCCTAACGGTCACCTTCCCTCACATCAACTCACTGTCATGATGGTCAAGTTTTTTGCCGCAGCCTCCTGGAAACAACATCAGTTCATACTTTTCCCCCACATATTTTATACACTTCCCCCCGCAAAAAAACACCTTCCTAATAAAAGAAATCAAGGTCCCTTTGAAATATATAACATCCCCTCATCTTCATCAACATCAGAGAAGAGCAGGCCACTTACCAGGCTCCAGGTACATCTGTGTGTGACCGTTCATCACCCCATTTGCCACGTCTGTGTCCTCCAAAGTCAGAACTGCTGGAGGCTGGAACTCCAGCTCCTCCTGTATTTTTTCTAAGCTGCTCTTCATCTGAGTGGAACTCATATAGTTAAAATGCCACTTCACTTTCTGAATGATGCTGTCTGCAAAAAGAGAGCAACCCACGTTGGGCATTATATCATAATAGATGATATAAGACAATATGTATAAAATGAGCTTTACATTTCCACGCAAGCTAACTCAAGAATGTCAGGCTATGCATAAAGGTCAAATGATGACTACATATCATTACTAGTCTCATCAACCTCTCCAAAGCAGAGTAATTAAAATGTGATCGGCTATATAGAGAGAAGGCAATAACACGTTCCAGAACCTCAGTGACGAGGGAGTCAGGGAATAAGGACTTGATTCTTAGCTCAGCTGCTTACAACAGTACAATCCCAAGCAACTCACAGAATATTTCTGAGCTTAAAATATGGGGACAGTTATTCTTGACCTGATTATTTCAAGAAAAGGGGTGTAATAGAAAAATTACCAATGAACTTGACTATGTTGTACAAACTAGGATAATATATTTGAAAAGTATTAATTCTTTTATTTGTTAGTATTAATTTATTGCCAAGTATTAATAAGTATCTGAAGCAAAGTTTCATACATACTGGCAAAGCAAAATCACTTATAATTCTAATATCAGTGTACTTTTCCTCATATTCCACTCTTAATCAATCATGAGCAGACAGGATGCGGGAAGGGTCTCCTAGCCGATGGAGCCCACCACTTTAGATGGAAGGCACATGCAGAGATGAGGGGACAGAGGAACACAGGCCACTAGTTACAAGTCCAACGGCAGCCCAGGGACGCTGCACTGTCACCTGCTTGGGGATGGCACGCCCCGTCCGCAGGAAGAGGTGGGCTGAGAGCCGCTCTTTGACTAGGGCTCACAAGGAGGCTCGGGGGCCGAGCTCTCCGTCTGTGTCAGGTCTGCCAGGCTGGGGCCCGCGTACCAGGGCGGTCCCCAGCACCCGCAGCACCCAGCATCAAAAGAGGGTGCTGGCCGGATCCCTGACGGGCCGGCCGGCTGACCACACCAGGGGCTGCGTGGGCTATGGCAGAACGAGGGCGAGGCGACAGCCAGCAGCCCGAGAGGCAACACTCCCAGCGGCTGGCCCCGCACCTGCCCCACAGCACTGAACGCTGCCCGCCCCCCACTCAGCAGCGCCGTGGGGACGGCAGTGTTCACACCGAGGCCGCGGGGACCCTCTAGCTCCGGCTGTACTCCCTCCCTGTCTTCCCAGAGCTCAGAATGACGAGGCTCACACTTGGGAAAACACTGCTTCCGCTCTCATTGTCACGCGGTGTTCCAAAGCCCCCAAGCGCCACCCACTCCCGCCCCAGGCCTCCGGCATCTCCTAGAAAGCAGTATCCTCTCCAAGCAGAGCAGTGTTTCTCAGACCTCTGAGTGAAGGACCAGTTTTCCTTACTTCTAAACTCTTGTGGACTGATACTTTGAAAAAATACAGTAAAACATACTGCAGGAACGTTCCATCACTGTAGGAACTTCTAAGTACTTATTCGCACATTCTATACATACCTAATGATTGAAGAACAAGTGCACTGGACCTAATGATTGAACTAACGATGAATGATTTAACCTAATGATTAAAGAACTCTCTGAGCCATGTAGCTCTAGAGCAGGGTCAGTACAATTTTCTTAAAGGGCCAGAAAATAAAAATGTTAGGCTTATAGGTCACACTGCTCTGCCACAACTACTCAGCGCTGCTGGTGACAGGCCAGAGCAGCCACGGGCTGCCCGTACAGGACTGAATGGGGCTGTGTCCCACTCTGTTGACAAAAGCAGGCTCTGGCCCGTGGTCCAGTTTGCTGACCCAGCTCCGAGGGCTGCGGTGAAGAACCTGTACAGGTCTCACCAGTCCCCGCGCTGCCCCCAGGGGCTGGAGAGATGACAGGCCAGCGTGTTAAACCTCAAAGCTTCCAGGCTTCTCCCCTCTCTGTGAAATCTCCGACACACAGGGGGTCTCCAGTGGTATTTTATTGCACTTCCAATGACTTTCCTTGATGATCAAAGTCAAATCTAAACTATAAATCTACACACACCATGAGAGAGAACAGTAAATGCAAAAGAGGGCTACACACCGAATTCAAGGAGGGCGTAAGGCCTGGAGGCTAGGCCGATGCGCGTGGCGTCGTAGGAAGCTGTGAACTCCCACCACAGCGTCTCCAGGAAGCAGAAGGCCATGGCTGCCGGGCACTGGCGGGAGCAGATCGCCATGCAGGCCACATCCCCTGATGAAGAAAAGCTGAGACAACAGGGCGACGCCTGCATTACCAGGGACAGACCTGCGGGCTCCCATCCCACACCCAGACACAACCTCGCTGTGACGCCTGACTTGCGTGGCCTCGAACAGCCCCGGAGCTGTTCGCTGCACGTGTGTTGTGTCCTCAGCCCGACCCACCTGGGACGGTGCCTTCCCTCTGTGTCCTCTAAAATGCAGAGCAGGATTTGCCACTGCCTGTGTGTGGTCACTCTAGCTCATTCATGCACGAGGAGGCATGTTCCATGAGAGGGAAGTAGCCCCACACCTCTGTGCTTCTTAGAGGAAAATGTTTTCCTTTTCTCATCTACAGCAAAAGATTTTCTAATGCTAAATCATACTGGCATCCTAAATAAAACCTACTCCTTTCAGACTGTCACGCTATCATCTCAAGTTCCGGAGACTCTGGCTCCCCTATCCATGGCGTCCGCTGACTCCCGCGCGCTGTGGGCCGTCTCCTCCTGTGTTCTGCCATTTATGCTGAGAGCGCATCGCTGCGGAGCCTGTTTTCTCCCTCGAGGCCTGACATGGGACACACTTCTTCCAGAGCCTTCTGCATTTACCCCGGCCTGCTGCTCCACGAGCGTCCTCAGTCTGGAACCAACACTGACATTTAAACCTTGGCTCGGGAATTCCTAGACTGTGAGGAGCAGAGCGTATGAACTCCAACTCCGATCACAAGGGACAGGAGCAGGGTTTTAGTTTCTCAAGTGAGATCTTTTCTTCCCATTCAAAGCCACACAGGGGTGAGTTCCCCCGGCTTCGGGAGGCTGCCTCTTCTCGCCCACCACTGTGCTAGGGCTGCCGCCCAACGGGAACCCTGCAGGGTCTTGCTCCGCACCTCACTCCACATGAGCTCAGGGGCCTCTCCCCTCGTGGGTGCTGATGCTCAGGCCCTGAGTTGACTGTAACTGGCTACCCAGAAGCCCCGGCGTCCGCTCACACAATTACCTCCTTTGACATTCTGTTCCCCCTTCAGTTTTGGTATTTTGGGATTTCTTTCTTTCAAGCTCAGCTACATGTTAAAAAAAATTTTTTATTATCTATTTACCCACATTTCTGGGTGTTTGTTTTTAGGTTATATCAATCTACCACCTTTTTGTAATTGGAAGTCTCTTTATAAAACATGTTTTCAGTTTTTAAAAAATGACGACCTCCTCCTTCTACATGGAATTCCCCAGCAGGGCCTAAGTCTCTGTAGGAGGAAGGTACTTACTTCTATTGGAAATATGAGCCCTATTTGTGGGCTGAATTGTGTCCCCCGCAAAAAAGATATGTTGAAGTCCTGACTCCTAGTACTAGTGAATATAACCTTATTTGGCAAGTCTTTGCAGATGGAATCAAGGTAAAATGAGGTCATAATGGATTGGGGTGGGCCTTCATCCAATGACTGGTGTGAAATTTGATCGCAGCGTCAGAAGGAAGAAGCCCATGTAACCAAGGCTACTTCCTTCTGCGAGGCAGAGACTGGAGTAACGCTTCTGGAAGACACAGAATGACAAGGAGGTGGCAGAGAGGCACGGGAAGGACTCTTCCTCGGAGCCCAGAGAGCACGGCCCCGCTGACACCCTGATTTCAGGCTTCTGGCCTCCAGAACTGCAAGAGAACGCACTTCTGTTGTTCACGGCAGTTTGCGGTAATCTGCTGTGGCAGCCCTAGGAAAACCGTCCAACTCCTTAAACTGCACAGGAAGCTTATGGCGCGGCTCGGCTGTACGGAGAAAAGGTCTCAGTTTCCTCTGTGAAAATGGTGAATACTAAAGTCAAACTACAAATAAGGAGAACATTTTATACTCCACTTTTCAAAAGACTGAAGTACCCAGAATTTCATCTGGCATCACAGACTTTTTTTCTGTGAACTGAGAAAAGGTTTCCTATTTGAAATTGAGCACATAGTTCCCACAGAATGTTTTCATGAGGAACACGGTTCCAGGCCCCCAGAGAAAGGTCGCACGCACAGGCAGATGCAGCCTGGCTTTTGCCCCCGGGCACCCGCAGCCCACGCCGCAGGGTGACAGCTGCACGTGCCTGCTCTCTGGCACCCCCTTCAGGCCCCGTCCCTTCTCCCTGACTCGGCCACGGAGCCTGGAGTCAGGCCTGGGTTCTTCCTTTTGTTTTTCTGATTCTGAGACTGAATTGCTCTCAAAGGACCCCACCTTATGAGGTAAACTAAAAATATACTGTTTGAAGGGAGCAAAAGGGACTTGGTAAGTGAAGGATAAATGTTAGAAAACAATGATGTAAAATCTATAATGAGACATTTTGGTATTTCAAAGCCTGCCTTGCCCTGATGCCTCCGTAGAATGGCTTTTTGCTCTAAGTCCTAGAATAAAAAACGAGAAAATACATGAGGGTCAGGCCTTGGTGCCTGGGTGCCTGCACTCAAACCCGGTGCTACACTTCTAGCAGCTGACCCTTAGGTAAGTCACTTAACCTCTGCTTCCTCCTCCGCAAGAAGCTGTAATACTAACAGGCTCCTCATTCTCCACAGAAAGCACTTACAATAGTAGTGCCTGGCCCAGAGAAAACACTCAATAATATTGGTGATTATTACTATGTTATTGTAACCACTTGATTCCTACTTTCACGGGAGCATCTTCCCCACTGCATCATATTTAGTTACATATTTCTCTTGTTCGCTCATTAGGCTTTAAGTTCCTTGAGAAGAGGAACCTACCTGTGCTCATTTTTCATTGCCCTGCTCTTGGCATGTAATTACAATTTTTTACTATAGAAAAATTTTTTAAGTGAAAAGATTTAAAAAGCAAAACTTGAAGTCAAGAACTGTCTTTTTGCTTACTTTATTTTCTTCTTTCTCACTCTCCTTTTCCGTCCCTGCCATTTCAATTTAGTGTTTCTTCCCTCCCCACCTTTTTTCCACCCCTGCATCCAGTGCAGAAAAAACTGGAGGCATGAAAGCTGGTTGGAGCTGGGTCTCCCAATGCAAGGCTCACGGGCACCCCACTAACACAGGCAGCAGCAGGCGCAGCAATGCCGGAAGTCCTCCTGACTCCACTGTGAACACACACAACCTCCAACCGCTGTCTGATGTCAGATCTACTTTTAACACACCACGTGACCCGCATAGTGTTACCCCAACATATGGTTAAAAGTCACCCAAACTTTGCTGATGTTCTGCAAAAGTGAACATGCTTGCTTACTGTATACTGAAGTCGCGTCCTTGTGCAGAACCTCGACCTGGATACTGGGCCAGTCGCAAGGCTAACGTCTTGAGCCGTCTCCTGGATTCCAGAAACTCCTGGGTGTGGTAAAAGTCAGTGGAGGCCGAGAGGGGCAGTCCATCCCTCACCCTTACCACACAGGCAAAGAGGATCATGGACATGGTCCGCAAGAGAAGTCATGAGGACACCTGCGGGAAGCAAGGTTTCCTTGTTACTGAGGACCGGGCTTCGGTGCCAGAGACACCGTGCCCTCGAAATGTTTGCTGGTTCACCCTCACCCCCACTGTGATTGCAAAGGTTCCTTCTATTATTTCCCTTCCCTCTGCGGTTCTGTCACTCCCAGCCTTCCTCCCTTCAGTATTCCCCTGTCTCTTCTGTACTTGTTATCCTCCTTTTCCAGAATGAAACCAATGAGGATAAGGGAGAAAGGAAGCCAGGAAGCAGGACTGGAGGGCTCAGGGGCAACAGCAGTGATGGTGGGGCGCAGGACATAGGCAGCAAGATGTCCCCAACGGGTCAGGACATAGCTGATGCTGAAGCAGCAGGAATGGGGCCCCGGGACCCGTGCATTTCAGGTCACCCACGGAGGCAGGTGCTGAGCAGTTTAGCTGCCATGTCCTCACCTGAGAGGAGGGATTCTAAGCAGCCAGCCTAAAGCAGGAAGGTAGCAAGGGCAGCAGAAGGCCAAATGGAACTGAGAGAGTACAGCCTATCCCCCCAAATTTCTGATACAGAGCCAGTCTTCAAAACGATGACTGAGCTCCTACAGATGGCTAAAGGGAGTCATTTCACAAATTGTATTATAGTAAGATACTAAATATTTGGCTTTGATACATGAGCACCATTAAGAAACCAAGGGAAACAGATTCTGAGTCCTCATGGTGCCTTTGCAAATTAGAACAAGGTACTTCTCCGTGTAGAAGCAGCAGGGACCAGTTGCTGGTAGATCCTGCCTGGGGTGCAGCCCCATCTGCTGACTGCGCAGGCGCCTGCAGAGGGCACAGCACGCACATGTGCATGGGCAGCCCTGCAGCCAGGGATTAGCGAGGTGGCCACGACAGCTTTAACGGGTGTTCCATGCACCTGCACACCCGTCTCACAGGTCCCGTTCATCAGGTCCTCTACTTAAGAGGGCAGTAATAGGTTCCTACGCTGATGTGCTTTCCTTCCAAAGAACTCTACAGGTGTAGCCTTAGTTGGCATCTCAGCGCCTATGTGCCGTGGGAGAGGGGGCCCCCAGGATGCACGCTACTCTCGCCACCCCCGTGCCTCCGTGTATTCTTCGCCTATAATCTGCCACTCTTCTGATGACCCCATATCCAAATCCACCTCACGGTCTGTCTCCAATCCTCCCATTCCATGAGACGGTCTCAGACCTGCCCAGCTAGATGTACTCCTTCCTCTTCTCTATTTTACTGATTTATCTTTTCCACCATCTAAGTGTGAGTTCTAACAATAACGACCATATCTGAAATGGGTGAATAAATGATTATTCACATTTTACACCGGTAGAAGCTGCCATGGTACAAAAACACAGAGGGGAAAAATAAAAATTACCTAGTCTACCAGCCAACAGACCCTACACAGTCCATTTGTCTTATCCCCCAACACTTTCCAACACCGAGGAGTAAAAATGTGAAAACCCCCAGGAAAGATACATCCACACCACTGCTCCCGGCACCACGGGCAGGGCCAGCCAAACTACCAGACAAGCCTGTGGGCTGCACCCCAGCTGTTCAGCCACAGCTGAGACCCCCGGGATCAGAAAGCGCTTCGGGGGATGAATGTACGGAGGTTAGTAACATTATCTTCTATACTTTTGTGAATGTTTGAAATATTTAATTTAGAAAAAAAATTTTTTTAAGTTATAATGCACAAAGCCCTGAAAGAGATGGAGGAGACTACGAGGCCAACCTGAGATCAGGGTTTAGGGTCTAAACAGGAACTTCAACTTGCCTGCTACCTGGAGAACAGTGTTAATCAGTTAGAGCCATTCTGCAATGCATGCAGAGAAGTATTTAAGAACACTTATAATAAAGATGCTTCTAAGAACAGTACTTGCTTTAAAAAAAAAATACAATGAGAAAGTGAGATACCAAGATCAGAGATGGGGACAGAAACGCACCCAGGGCAAAAAACACACCCAAGGCTTTCTTTTTGGAAACTGAGTAAATTGTATGTTCTTCCAAGGAAAAGTAGTATGCATTTATTCCAACTATCAACCCCAAATATCCTCTCTAGTGCTATCTTTATGGGGCATCTACTACGTGCCAGGTATCATGTTGAGCCAATAAAAAGGAAAGTTTCCCTTCCAAGAGAGTTATCATAAGAACCAGTTCTACCACTCTCTAGAAGACCCAGAAGCCCATCAGGCCTCTACTTCATCCATTTTAACCTTTCGGTAATCGAACCTGCTTCTCCTCAAACAATAATATTCAAGATAAACAAAAACTGTTTTTCAGCCCTCACTGGCATGGCTCAATTGATTGGGCATTGTCCCACAAAGTGAAAGGTCACTGGTTCAATCCCTGGTCAGGGCACACGCCTGCTGGGTTGTGGGTTCGGTCCCCAGTCAGGGTACGTAAGAGAGGCAACCCATCAATGTTTCTCTCCCACGCAGATGCTTCTCCCCCTCTCTTTCTCCCTCCCTTCCCCTCTCTCTAAAAATAAATAAATAAAATCATTTTTCAAAAATTGGTTTTCAGTTATTAGGACTGCAAACTAGGGAAACCCACATGCATTTTTAATATTTTAAAACACTCATGATGCTTAACGATGGTGACACTGTGATGTTAACTGTGACTCGTGTTTACACGCATGTGTGAGTGTGTCAATACACAGGAAGGCAGCTGCCTGAGAGGAAGAGGAATTTTACACACTGCTATGGAAGAGAGAGGCTCATTTCTCCGTTCTCCACACTGCCTGTGTGCTTTGCACACAGTAGGGATTTGATGTTTGTGAATTCAGGTTATGAGACAGTTTGTACCTTAAGAGATCTGACCACTGTTCAAAAAAGAATGAACTGGGAACTTCTGCTTCTGAAAGATGGAGTTGAAGTAATTTTTTTCCTATTCCCACTAAATACAACTTATATATAAAATGAACGTAAGATTCCGAGCGGTGGGGAGAAGGCAGACTGGCTAAGAGACCTTGGGACGTGAGGAATGACACAGCTGTGAGTTTCCTCGCTTTCCTTTTTGCCTCATGTATCCAGCCTAACTGCTGGAGAAGACTGCAACCCAGAAATGTCAATGAATGTAGATTGAAAAAAAAATAAAGTAATCCCCAACAACAACAAAAAGCCTGCTCTCTCTGGCCAAAGCAGTGGCCAAGCACCAGGCAAAACTTTTAGACCCAGAAGTTCTATTCCCGCCAAACATCACAGAGAAAAGCTGCCGTCATCAAATACGCAGCAGCAAAGGCTGACTGAAGAGCTCTAGATGCTACTCTTGCCTGGCAGTAGTGAGGTGCCCCCCCGACTCCCCACCCTGCCAGGGCAGTGTCAGAGAACACCAAGTGGGGAGCTACGGGCAGCAACGAGCCAACCTCACCGACTGGGTCGCGGGGAGACAGAATTCCCACCTCCGCCCAACATTAGTAAGCAGCCCCTTCCCTGCAGGGAGTCAGAAAGTCTGAGTGGGTAACCTGGACTTTTTTCCCACCTGGCAGTAATGAGATAGTACCCTCACGTGCCCTGCCAGCACAATGTCAGCAAAGGCCATCTAAAGCAGAAGATTTAAATAAGGTCCAGAGTCCCATAACATAATGCCCAAGATGTCCGAGTTTCAACAGGAAATCTCACCTTGACTAAGAAGAGACAATCAACTAATGCCAACACCAACGTGACCCAGATGATAGCATTATCTGAGGCTTCAAAGCGGCCATCATAAAAATATTTCAATGAGCAATTATAAACATACTTGAAACAAGTAAAAAAATAAAAAGAAACAGAAGATATAAAGAACCAAACAGAAGTTTTAGAGTTTAATAAACGGGCTGACATTTTGGGGGGGTTTTGTCCCAGCGGTTTGAGAAGACCGGTTTGGCTTCATTTCTCAGCCATAAGTCCTTTGCTTCTGCAGAGATGCGGCATTCCACAAGAGTTACCGCCCTCGCTGGGACGGCAGAGGGAGCTGGGGCATGAAAGCTACAGGGGAACCCACAAACGGACGAGGAGCGCCCCAGCAGCACCCCGGAGAACAGACGTTGTGAACCACATCGTCAGTTTAAAGAATCTGACTGGTACACTGAACTAGAGGCATTTTAACACAGATTGTTTTAATTCTTTATTATTAGCTTATGTAGTTTCAAATTACTTTATAATGCAGTCAACAAATAGTCAGACATTATCGAATGCCTGTTATAGGCTAGACACTATAGAAGTGCCGGGGCTGTCGCTGGGAATAAAATGGAGTTCCCCCGCGTGTCTCTCTGGGAGTGGTGGGAACAGTTAAGTCCCCACCGCCAGTAACAGGGAGATAAAACACACAAAGTTAATAGTGATGCTAGGACACGGGGTGCCTTAAACTTGCATGTGGGAGGGCGATACGTGTGTTAGGGTGCTCCTTTAGAGTTCCATGAATGAGAGATAAGGCGGGGCGGGGGAGGATAACTCCAGATGAGAAAACAGCATGTACTGTCTGGGTGTGTTAGAGTGCACTGGGGATTAGTCACTTACTCTATGTTCTGCAGGTTATTTTCGCAGATAAAGCCAGTGGATATTGTGAGATTTTTAGAAGTGTGGTTATTATAAAACCATTTCTTTGCACAGGGAGCAGGCAGTAATTTGGGAAAGGGCCTCAAAAGTTTCCAATAACAACAACAACAAAGAAGTGAATTTAAAAAAAAAACCCTCAATGAATGAACTAAACAGCCTACTGGAGAGGACAGAAGAATGAATCAGTAAACGGGAATACAGAATATAGAAACTACCTAATTTGAACAATCTGAGAGAAACTAGATTTTAAAATACTGTACAGAGTTTCAGGGACTGCGGGACTATAACAAATAATGTAACACATCACTGGATTCCTGCAGGAGAGGAGAAAGTGGGCGGGACTGAAAAAGTATTAAAAGAAACAAGGTCTGAAAACTTCCCAAATTTGGCAAAGAACACAAACCACCAAAATCAAAAAGTAGAATAAATTCCAGAAAGCATAATCCCAAAGAAACCCATGCCAACATACATACTAGTCAAATTTAATAAAACTAAAGACAGTAAAAATCTTGAAAGAAATAAGTAACAATACCTTACTTATGGGGGAAAACAATTCAAATGACAGCCAATTTCTCATAGAAATCCTGGAAGCCAGAAGGACACACACTTTTCAAGTGCTAAGAGAAAAGAACTGCCAATGCAGAATTCTGTATTTTCAGCAAAAATTTCTTTCAAGACTGAAGGGAAAAATTAAAATATACTCTGATGAAAGAACATTAAAAGAACTTGTTGCCAGCATATCTGCTCTAAGATAATGACTAAAGGGAGTTCTCTAAACTAATGAGTTCAACAAGATTGAAGGATATACAATAAATATACAAAAATCAATGTAGTTTTATATAGTAGCAATGAATATGTAGAAACAAAAATAAAATACCATTTACAATCACTCCAAAAAATGATTTCAATAAAGCTGTAATTCTTAAAATCTAATACTTAGGTGTAAATCTAACAAAACCTGTACAGGACTTGTATACTGAAAACTACAACACACTGCTGAAAGAAATCAAATAAGTCCTAAATAAAGAGATATACCATGTTCACAGATTGGAAAATTCAACATATTAAAGATGTTAATTCTCCCCCAAATTTTTATATATATATATAGGTTTAATACAATTCTTATTAAAAAATATCAACAAGAGAGTTTGTAGATATAGAGAAAATTAATATATAGCTACAGTAATCAAGATTGTGTAGTATTGGCAAAGGAATGGACATATAGATCAATGAAACAGAATAGAAAACACAGAAGTAAACCTACATGTACAGCCAAATGATTTTTGACAAAGGTGCAAACTCAATGCATTGGAAGAAGGACAGACTTTTAACGTGTGGTGCTGGAGCGACGGATATCTACAGCAAAAGGAAAAAAAGCGGGGGGGACCTTGACCTAAACTCACATCTTATATAAAAATTAACTCAAAATGTACCATAAATTTAAATGTAAAAAAAGTAAAACTATAAAAGTGGAAGAAAACGTAAGAGAAGATCTTCAGGAAGATCTGGGGAAGACTTCTTAGATATGACACCCTAAGCACAATCCATAAAAGAAAAATCAGTAAATTACATTTCACCAAAATTCAAAATTTTGCTTTGCAAAAGCCCATGTGAAGAGGATGAGAAGACAAGCTAGAGACTAGAAGAAAAATATTTGTAAACGACATACCTGATCACGTACTCTAGATAGTATCTGGAATTTATAAAGAACTCTCAAAACAACACTAAAAAGACAATCCAGTTAGATATGCACAAAGTACATGAACCGATTATTTCACCACAGAGGACGTGCAGGTGACAATTGAGTACATGAAAAGATGTTCAGCATCACTAGCTATTAAGGGGAATGCAACTTAAGATCACAATGAGATACACTACGTATCTATCAGAACAGTTACAATTTTTTAAAGTGACAATATCAAGTGCTGACAAGCATGCAAAAACTGTATCTCTCACACATTACTAGTAGGACTGTAAAATGGTACAGTCGCTCTGGAAAAGTTTGACAGTTTCTTGTGAAACTAAACATGCAATTACCAAATGATCTATTGATCACATTCCTGGGCATTTATCCCAGAGAAATAGAAATTTATGTCCATGCAAAGACCTGTGTACAATTATTCATAACAGCTTTATTTGCAACAGCCAAAAACTGGAAACAACTAAAATGTCCTACATAAAATAGTGAATGGTTAAACAAAACATAGTGCATTCATATCACATAATACTCCTTAGCAGTATAAAGGAATAAACTATGGAAACACAGAACAACTTGGATGGATCTCAAAAGCATTGAGTGAAAAAAAGAAGTCAATCTCAAAAGGTCACATATATATGAATTCTTTTACGTAACATTCTAAAAATGACAAGATTATAGAGATGGAGAACTGATTAGTGGTTGCCAAGGGTTAGGGATGTTGGGAGGTGGGGAATGGGTGAGACTATATAGGAACAGCAAGAGGAAAATTGTTGTGGTGATAGAATAATTGTGTATCCTGATTGTGATGGTGGTTACAGGAATCTGGAAATGATAGAACTACACACTTCTGTCCTGGCCCAGTGTCTCAGTTGGTTAGAGCGCTGCTCCAATACGCCCCCGTGGTTACAGGTTAGATCCCCAGTCAGGGCACATGCAGCAGGCAACCAATGAATGCATAAATGAGTGAAACAACAAATCCATGTTTCTCCCACTTGCTCTCTCTCTCTAACAATTAATAATAAAAAAAGAATTATACAGACTTTATATTAATGTTAATTTCCTGGATCTGATATTATACTACAGTTATGTAAAATGTTCTATTTTTGCAACTTCTTCTGACTATAACTTGTATTTTAGAAGCTGATAAAAAAGAGTATTAACTTGTTTTTATACCACTTAAATTATGCCCATACTTTTTATGTTCAGATGTCATTTTTAAATATTTCTACTATTAGAATAACGTTTTCTGCTAATTAACTGTTCTTTTAAAAAAAAAAGATTTTATTTATTTATTTTTAGAGAGAGGGGAAAGAGAAAGAGAGGGAGAGAAACATCAATACGTGGTTGCCTCTCGCACTCCCCACTACTGGGGCCCTGGCTCACAACCCAGGCATGTGCCCTGACGGGGAATCAAACTGGCGACCCTTTGGTTCGCAAACGGCACTCAATCCACTGAGCCACACCGGGCAGGGCTAATTAACTGCAGTTCTGATGATTTACACATGAACACTGAAAGGCATGTTTTATAGTGAGCAGCTCCTTAACTACATGACATTCTCAGTCTGGAAGGTACTATGACCTCAGGACTCATTAAAATAAAAACAGCTTGCAGGTAACCAGCATCTAGTTTTAAACAGGAAAGCAGTGTAATGAATCTGGGAAATCATTCCACAATTACAGAAAAATACATTATCAATTCCACAGGGACAAAGGCAGCCTCAGAGTGCTCCCACAGAAACACCAGTCTGTCTCCCAGGTCTTACCAGCTCCTTGGACAGGCCAGTGGACCTTGTACCTGGCACCATGCCTACCACATATGAGAAAGCCCTCAATAAAAACTACTATGCAAATGAATGAATGACCTAAGAGGCTGACTTATTTTTGCTCACTGAGACAAGAAATGGGCTTTGCAGATCTTGCCATATTCTGACCTATTCAGGGTGGGGCAAGTAGGTTTACAGTTGTTCATATGGACAAGTATACAAAAAAAAATAATAATAATACAAGAGTAAACTCTGTTTCCAGTACTCACAACTGTAAATCTACTTTTGCCCAGCCTGCATTTTGAACATTTTTCCATAATAAATCTCTAATTGGAGAAAGGTGTGTATATACATGGAATTTCTTAAAAGTAGAAACTGAAGTTGTAATTAAATACACAGCACCCAAAGTATTACTAGGTTGGATTAAAATATTAATCTGCCTCCCCATTTCCTAAATCCTCTTCTCAGCTCTATTTATAAACTGCTCATGTTATAGATAATCCCTATTCTCCCAGCAAAAACGCTGTACCTCGCTGGAGGCCACCCTTGTTCCTACTATTTTTTTTTTCTCTCCCCTTTACACTTAACCTCCTCCTAAATCCTTGCCACATATACTCCTCCTCCCTCCAAGAGAGAAAGAAAAAGGGAGACAAACACAGCATTAAGTGACCAGACCTTACCACACAGTAATTTTAAACGAGCAAAACAAGTTTCATTTGGCACACAAATATTCAAACACAAATTTTCACCATAAGGCATACTGCCCACTCCTCATAAACACAATACAGAAGAAAAATTTGAACCCTTATTGGATTCACCTTCAGTTACAGGACTTAAGGCTCGCAGACCACACAGGCTCCTCTGTTCCACTTTGCTTGGGGGTGGTTTGAGGAGGAGGGTAGAGGTCAACTGTCATGTGTTAAGAGCTAGGATTAGAGCACCGAACTTGATAGCAACCCATATCATATGCCAGGCATTGTGCTAGGACCTTTTACACTGATAATGTTATTCAATGCTTCTCAAATTCAATATTTGGTATTACAGCTTCTCTAGTTCTCTAAAACAATTCCTCCTCTTAGGATACTGATGCTCAAAGCTAAGTAGAGACCTGTTAATAGGAGCAAAGGCCTAGGGTTTCACTTGTTACAACTGCTCTTTACTCATTGTATTACTTTGAAAAAGTCAGTTTTCCTCTCTGACCATCAGTCACCTTTCGGATGCAGCTGATCTCTGAAGCTCTTTAAATAAAAAACTTTGGGACCCCAAAGTGTCCTCCGTGTGTAAACATAAACACTTAGAGGTATAGCATCATCATCTAAGATGCGTTTTCCAGAGCAAACGCTATTAGGTCAACTTTAATCGTGTTTAGCAATAGTAAATCGTTTTCAACTATTTATATTTTCACTTCGCTTTTATTCAGTCCTATTTTTTCCCCCGGAATGCTTTATCCTCCTGGCTCTGGAGGTCTAGATGTAAGCTTACAACGGACACAAAATACACACCTCCTCCCACACCTGATGTTCAGAAAAACTGGTCTAGTGCATCCAGTACGTGGTACACCAAGTCTTAACATCGGCACCCTAAAGAAAGTTTTCTATTAAAACTAAACAATACTCTGACGTGAGCTTCGTGGATAATTGAGGAAATAATCGCCCGCTCTCTCTTCTGGACACACCCCGTCTCCTCCCCCAGGAAGCAGCGCTCCACGCGCATCCATCAGCTGGGGGTTCCTGAAGGTGCGCGCCTAGGGTCGTCCCGGAGTCTGGAGATCAGCGCGCAGAAGAGAAGGAGACTGACGATTCCGGTAAGGCCCACGTCGCCCGGTGCGGCTAGGCTGGGCCTGAGAGAGGGGCGGGCCCAGAACCGCCTCCATCTCCAGGCCCGCCCTGCGCCACACCCGACCCCGCCTGCTCTCAGCTAACGGGCCGCCTCCGCCCAGTGGCCCTCACCTTGCCGGGACCGCGGCCTCCGGAAGTCAGCGGTCTCCCTCCGCGCCTCCTAGCCACCTGCCGCCTTCTTCGCAACCTTAGCTCACAGGGAAGAGGCCCAGGTCACTGGCCGCCCAGGCGCAGGTAGACCATGGTGCGCGTGCGCCCGTTTTCAACCTCCATTCGCTGCTGCTAAGCAACACCCGCACCCGAACTGACCAATCCTGGCGCGCCTCCGCCGCCCGTCCCAGGCAGCTTCTTGAATGAAATAGTTCTTAAAGGGCTGCGACCCAAATGCAGAGGGGGAGTGGCTGGACTCGCACCTCCCAACTTTCTTCCCATTTCCCGGCTCTCACCCACGTGGGTTTGAGGTCCAAGCCTGTAATTCCCACGTCGCGAGGTGCGAGAAGGCTTCGCGGTCTAAGCTCTGTTCCGGCTGGAGTAGCAGAGAGGACTGACGCACGGAGCTTAGAAGGTTCAGCGTGAAGGTGCGACACGCCCGGGGCGGGGGTTCCGACGTCTGTGCGACTGGTTGGGAGGCCCGAGATAGGCAAACCAAAGAGCACAGCCTCCTGCCAGCCTGGATGAGGTGCCAAAGTCTAGGGACACACCCCAGTCTGGGTCGGAGACAGTCACAGAGGGATGGCCAGCTCAAGGGAGATTAGGAAGCAGAGTTCATCTGTTTATTTTTTCAACAAATTTTTAGCACCTGCTACGTGCTAGGCACTATGCCAGGGACTGTGGACATAACGAGGAACTCCCGACACTAACAACTATGTTAAGAGAAGAGGGCAGAGTGAGAGCACCCATCAAACAATTACACGACACGTGTTTAAATACAAACTGAGATATGTGCACTTAAGAGAGGAGCAAGTGTTTTAAGAGAATTTACAGGAGCTTCTGTCCTGGACTTCGCTCCTGATGGCTCCTCCTCTACCTACTGTTTTCTGTAGAAGCTCTGGGAACTTTCCACAGGGAGGGGCCTGCTTTGGGGATAACAGTATAGACTTGGGAACCAAGAAACCCTGAGTCCTGGCTCAGTTCAGGCATGTTGCCCCACTTCTCTTACTGGGTTTACCGCTGTGTGAAATGGGATGAAAGCTGCCTCCTCACAAGGTTGAATAAAAGGATTGCAGAGGGAAATCCCAGCAAAAGCAGATGAGCCTGCCCTGGACCTGGGCCTTCACTAGGGGAAATGAAGCTCTAGGAGGCGGAATTGCCCCCAGACCTCTTTTGAGGAGTAAAGGCTTCCAACATCTCCCCCCTGAAAGATGTGGCTGCTGCTCACTCTGAGTTGCAGGGAAAACCAACCTTGTTCCTATGTCCACCATAGATGGGCTGGACAAGCCAGAAATAGCCACTTAAGAGTTTTACTGGTTGCCAACAGTAACTACCTGGCTCAGAAGGGGAGGCCCAGCTTTCTCCCTGTATCTTGCAGCAAATCATTTCAACAGAATAGTGCCTGGCAGTATGGGATAGTGGTAAAGAGCGTGAGGATTCTTAAGCCAGGCTGCCAGTATTTACTTACTGGCTTTCCCCTTGGTAGCTACCAGACCTTGAGCAGGTTACTTATGGTTTCTCATCTGTAAAATGGGCAAAATAATGGTGCTTTTTAGGGTTGTAAACCTAATAAAGCATTATTATTGCCCACAAGAAAAACAGGCATATAGGTGATTTTCTCCCTGAGGAAAGAATAAAGCTTTCACTAGTGTTTTCACTTGCGGATTTTGGCTTGGCAGGATGAAATGCGCAGGGTTCATGCTCCAGACGCAAGCCTGGAGGCACAAGAGTCATGTCGAAAAAGGAGTGGACTTGGAACCAGATATCTGGGTTCCAGCCACGATTCTCGAGTGACCCCGGCACGGTATTCCCGCATATAGACTGTACGCAGAGTGATAGAAAAGCAAGGAGCTAACTATGGGCCCGCCCCCAAGATAGCTTTCCAGACTGCGCAAATGCAAAGGATACGCAACAACTCCGGACACCCAGAGGAGGGGCCCGCGAGGGGGCGCTGAGCGTCCCTCTCGCGCGCCCAATCACAAATGACGTTCCGCCGGTTCCCGCCTTCTAAGCGGGAGGATCCAATCAACGTGTAAAGCGTATGCTCGCACCTACAGTGGGTCCCTCCGCAGCCTTAGTGGTCTGGAGCTGCTGGTTGGCTGCGGTCTAGCTGCGCGGGGGTTTACGGGGCCTGAGACCACGTTCCAACCTGGCATCCCGCAATGTCTGTGGCCTTCGTACCAGACTGGCTGCGAGGCAAGGCGCAAGTCAACCAGGAGACGATCCAGCGGGTTAGCGCTAACGCGGACGAGAAGGGGTCCCCTAGTGGGGAACCGAAGGGCTACGGGCGCTGGAAGCTTCCTGGAGTGGGCGGTGCCCCCGCTAAGACTGCCTAGGGCGTTGACTGTTAGGGGTAGGAGTCAGCTAAAGCGCCCGGGCGGGACAGCCTGGCAATGCGCTGTGAGACCTCGGGCAGCTTACTTAATGACTTGATGTCGTGTGGCACTGATCCTTTCTCTGATATTTCAGCTCCTGGAGGAGAATGACCAGCTGATCCGCTGTATCGTGGAGTATCAGAACAAAGGCCGGGCGAATGAGTGCGTCCAGTAAGTCCCCAACTCCCTCCCCTTACTTTTGAGTGGAGGGGAAGCCAGTGTGGAGATACAGCAGCTGTCCTGAACTAGTAGCCTTGGGTGATTGTTTGCAGATGAGGATCAGGGACGTTGCTTACCAGCCCCAGACCATGGGACGGTACATTGTGAAGCCTGGAGTCCGTTGTGGCACCCTCTTCAAAACTTGAATTATGCTCATTGCAAAGCTTTCTCCATGTGAAGCCCTGTCAGCTGATGACAACGGAAATGGGGAGGGAAGTACAGGGGAGACTAGTCTGATAAGAGTGGTGGCTGCTTTTCTTATGAATCCCTGGCTCAGCCTTTCTCTGTTAAGTTGAGGGAGTCAGAGCATTTGGTGGCTAAGTTCTCTACCTTTGTGTGTGTCCCTTTGTAACACTCACAAAGACCAAAGAAGGATTTCCAAGTAAGCCAAAGGTAAATTCTGCACAGTAATTTAATGTGCTTTCTAGTCATATACCAAAATGAGAGAAATTAGTCTGTTTTCTAAATGTAGTCCAGGAATTATGCCCCATTTATTAAAGAGAAATATATTATTTCATTGTTACTGGAGTCATGTTTAGAAAGCCATGCTTTTCCCACCTAGAAGTCACCTACAATCCCTCACTAAACAATTCAGTAGAATAGGAGAGATACCCACTTTGAGTAAGCTTTTTACATTGGACTTTGGCATTTGATAATTTATGTTTCTATAGTTTATAGTAAATACTTTTCTGTATGTAAAATAGTTGCAAAACATTCCATTTGGTGGAGCAGTTCTCAACCTATGGGTAAGAAAGTTATCAAAATCTCCTTGTGGGCTTTTTCACATGGCACGAGCCACAATTTCTGCCCTCTAGTCTGACTTTTCTTCTTGGGTAGGGAGCTGTCCTCACTGATTGAGAATTGCTACTATATATAGGAAGCTGCATGGAAGTATTTCGATATATGGGAAGCTCACATGGAAGTATTTCGTCCCTGCTTTAAGTTCAGATATTTTATAACTACTACTGAGTGTCAGACACTGTTTGAGCTATTGGAGAATTAGTACTGAAACAGCAGCTCTGCTGGTATGGAGCTTACCTTCCAGACACTGGAATCTAGAGGTAGGAAATCATAATTAGGTACATTGAATAAGAATAAAACAGGTAAATGGGTGGAAGGGTGCTGTTTTATACAGGGTATCTCTGATGGGAGATTTGAGTAGATACTTGAGGTAAGGAAGCCTGCTATTCAGGTATGTGAGGCAGAGCAGGAGGTGGAAAAGTCCCCAGGCTAGAGCATGCTGGTATCTTGAAGTGACAGCAAGGAGGCTACTGTAGCCAGAACTCAGTGACCGAAGGGAAACGGTAGGACGGTAGGAGATAGTAGGAGATGAGACCAGAGGCGTCCTAGAGGCTCTGATCACACAGGGCCTTGTAGGCCATGAGAAGGGCTCAGCTTTGCTGAGGATGACATGGGAGCCTTTGGAAGGTATTAAATGGACAAAAGAGATGATCTTAATTTAAATTGTACAGTGATCACTCGGGCTGCTAATGTGGAGAATAGAGGTAGAGCAGGGTGACCAGTTAAGAGACTGGTCCAATACCATAGTCTAAGCAAGAAGTGCCAGATCCTTGGTCTAGGGAGGTAGCGATGAAAGTAAGTGAGAAAAGGTTAGATTCTGGATATATTTTCCTTGAATGTGTTAAACAAGAAGGTTGATAGCACTAAATTATCCAGTCAATGGATGAGCCATCCCGCTAGGGTAGGTCAATTCTTTTTGCATTTGTTTATTCATGTTCAGGAAAAACAAAACTGTAATTTTTGCCTGTTTTTCACCCATAGGTACCAGCATGTGTTACATAGAAATCTCATTTATTTGGCTACCATTGCAGATGCCAACCCAACCAGTCCTTCAAAAGTAATGGAATAATCTTCTAGCCAGCCACTGTGAGGAATAATTGAAGGTAATCCATTTCCTATGAAATGGAGGCAGGATCTTCACCAACTCAAGTGCTGAAAACATGAAGGAAATCTTTGCGGCTCTTTTGAAAGTGTGAAAATGTAAGGAAAGCTATTAGATTAACTGTATTTCAATGTAAATATTTATTTTTAATAATTAAGCAGATTCTCCCAATTAAGTTGCCTCCAGGTGTTTTCTTTCTGGAAATAGGTGTGCTTGGATAACAAAGATATGGGCATCTCCCAGTCTACTTTTTTAGTTTCAGCCTGAAGAGGACACTGAGCAGGTGCTTGGTGATCAGCAGGAACTGGTGGTGAGACTCCTGGCTGAGACCCTGCCAGCTGAACATGTAACTGTGTTCTCCTTTCTACCAGTTTGTAGTTGTGGACCCCTTGACCGCTCTTTTCGGATTGCTTTGAAATAAAGCTTGCTTTTCCACAGGAAACTGATACTAAGGAATAGAAATTTTCATGTATTAGGTGTTCCATTTTGTTCTCCAGGAAAACTGTAGAAATTTTAAAAATATATGTAACAACACCATTATCAATGCTAACAAAGTTAATAGTAATCCTTACTTCTTATTTAATATCATCTAATAACAGATGATGTTATATACAAATATCGTTTTTCTTTTATTCTTTTAATGCTATCAGCTGGGGCTCCATAACAAATGACAAATTAGCAAAAGAAAAGCGTACAAGCCCTGAACAACGTGGCAATGTGGCTCAGTTAAGCATCATCCCGCAAAGTGAAAGGTCCCGAGTTAGATTCCTGGACAGGGCACATGCATTGAGTTGCAGGTTCCATCCCAAACTGGGGCCGTGTGAGAGCCAACTGACAGATGTTTCTCTCCCTCTCTTCCTCCCTTCCTTCCCTTCTCTCTAAAGATAAATAAATCTTTAAAAAGAAAAAAAAAAAGCATACAAATTTAATAAACATTTTACATGACATGGGAGACTGCATAGGGAAATGAAGACCCAAAGAAGCAGTTGAACCTCAGCATTTTTACTAGGTTTGATAAGGAGTGGAAAGTCTAGGACAAAGGGGTATGAGCTAAGTGTAGTGAACTGGGGGAAACTTAGGCCTGTTTGTTCAAATTCTCTGTGTCTCAGTTTTTACAGATAAGGATGCTCCATTGGGTATAGGGAGGGCTTCAGGGGAGGTCAGGGAGTCCTTCCAGCATCTGCCATTTCTCAAGTTCCTTCCATTCAAAATATTCAGTATGCCAAGGTGCCATATTTTGGAGTAGTGTATCCAGGACCATATCAATGTTCAGTTTTCAAAAAGTTGTCACAAAACATCTTTTTGTTAATTTGTTTGAATCAGGATCCAAATAAGATTCACACATTGGTTTGGGAGGGGGCCTCTTCTGGTAGAATTGGTGAGGGAGCAACGAACAGGCTGCCTCCCAGACTTAAGAAGGCCTAGAAAGGGTCAGAGCCTTCCTATAACACAGCGCAAACACATCGGTGCCCAACTTTCAACTGTACTGTCTCAGTAGGGGCTCCTTTCTGTTGGGACCTTGGAGAAGCATGCAGAATGTCCCAGAAGTGTCTACCTGAGAGACACTGGTTGGGGGGTTGCCTGCAGGGGAGTTAGCTCCTCCTACACTAACAGGCCACCTTTGTGGCCAGGTGGGACCCAGATGGCAGAGGAGACAGAAGAAAGTAGAAAGCAACTCTGGCCAGGTAGCATGGAGCATCGTCTGGATATGCCAAGGTTGCAAGTTCGATCCCCAATTGAGGCACACACAAAAATCAACCAATGAGTGCATGGATGAGTTAAACAGCAGGTCGACATTTCTCTCCCTCTTATCAAAAATCAAACAAGGGACTGTCCACTATGGGCAAGGTGGGTGAGGGTCTGTGACAGTACCAGGGGCTCCAAGGTTGGAGAGTATGGGCTCTAAGCAAGCCAGGGGGCCTACAGCCGTTAAGTGCAGAGGGAATACATATCCTTGAAGAGAAAGCTCAGCTCTCCCTCAGAGGGGAGGGGTTTGTGACCTGCTATGTCCCCCTCCCTTTGTCTTGGGTATTTCAATCTGTACGCGGAGAACTGAATTCGGGTAAATCAGATGCCACGAAGAACAGTGAGGCTGCTTTAGCCACAGGTTACCCTACATTCCAGAGAGCTCCGTTCTGGGGAGATAACTGGAGAAATGTTAAGCTGTTTTTCCACTTTCCCATAAGGCTTCCTAACATGCCAGTGTGACCTTTGGGGACTCCAAGTAACACTATGCCTAGGGAGGAAATGATATTCAGTGCTCTCTCACGTGTCCTTAAGCCTCTGCAATAAACTCATTAGTGAAGATGGTCTGTATATTTCTTGGGCATGGTATATAGTATCTTCATTTTATTGTTACTCTACTTCATACATATATTGTTTTGATTCCATTTTAATAAAAGCAATTTTTAGTTAATCTGTTCGCAATGAAAATCCCACAGAGACCCTTAGAATCCAGATGTTCTCCTCAATCATTAGGACATTCTCTTCCTAAATCTTTAATAAGAGTCTAGGATCCAAGGGGGGGTTGGTTTCCATTTCTGTCATCATTTGTTCATTCACTTATTCATTTATTCGACAATAGTTGATTGACTAGTATGTGCTGAAGGCACAGCATTGAGGAAGCCATACGTTGTCCCTGCTCTCATGAAAACTATATTCTAGTATAAAGACAATGCAATATAAGTAAGTTATTTATGGGGGAGACAATAAGGTATAAATTATCAAGGAAAGCTTCTCATGGTAATAAGTGCTCTGCAGGGAATTACAACAGGGAATGTTCTGGAGAGTGGGTAGCTACTTCAAATCATGGAATCAGGGATGACAAGTACGATTGCAGCTGATATACGAATAACGAGGAGCCTGATATGCACTCATTAGTGCGGGCAGACGCAAGAGCTATGCAAAGACCCTTCTTTCCAAACTTTTTTTTTTTGTCCTCTCTTGAGTCCATTTATAGAGCAGTGTGCACCTATGTGGTCATCAATTCAATTATAACGTGAGTCCTCATTTGACCAGGACTGTGCTGGGCTCTACAGTGAGGAAAATAGAGGAGAGGCACTAGGTCCTGTTTTCAAGGGACTCCTAATAAGCCTGGCAAAATAAAGGAGACTCATACCCAGGCACGGGGCGGGGCCCCGTGCAGGACCAGATGTTGAGGCTGCAATAATTCCATATGAAAAGTATCAAGTGCTTCTACATCATAGAAAAAGTATGCTTTTTAGTTCCCAAACACTCCTTTGTCTTCAAACAACATTTGCTGGTCGTAGCGGAAGCTATCAGCGCCCCACTCTCATTTCTTGAACTTGACTCCAACTTCACTGAACTTTTTCTCTTGTGTTCCAGCTGACTCCCGACAGTCCATATCTGTATTTCTCTTCTGAGGACTTGTTCCTGAAACTGGCAGTCTGCTTTTCCCAGGTGCAGCAGGCCAGAAGAGCCTGGGCATTCTATCGCCCTGGGAGCAGCTCTCAACCAACGACTCAGGAGATGGGGTACTAGTATCCCAGCCCCTTCACCCCCCAGCATAAGAACAATTCTGAGATGTTGTCCTACATTGGTGACCAGAGCTCCCCAGCAGGATTCAGCTGTCATCATGCAGTGTCATAGCCAGCTTAATAGTACATACTTTATTTGCTACCTTCCTTGTTTGACTTCACCACTCCCCAAACAGATTCCAGGGATCACTTCCCAAGTGAACAACTTGCACTCAAATCATTGTCTTAGAGTCTTCTGAGGAAAACAACCATGATACCAGCTGTCTAATGCCTTGTTCCTAGTGGGTAGACCGAGGCAGACTGGCACAGCAAAGATAGCTTCTATCAGCATCGGGGCAGATGAAAATTTATTTTTCTTTTTACCAAAAGCCAATCTACTGGCAAAAACTAGTGTCAGAGCCAAGGACCCAAAGCAGAGTTTAGAGAATGAAACAAATGAGTAGGATCAATAAAAAATGAGTAAGGATCCTATCTGAGAGGAAATGTTTGTTGTACTGGGGTTTTCATATGAATTTGATGGGATCCAAACTACCCCCTAAAGAGAATGCAGCAGCAGACATTTATGAAGACACAGGCATGCTTTAAAACCAATTAGTGGCCCAAAAAGCCACTTACCTAAGAGGCCAAAAGATGGGTGTAGTATCCACAATTAAGGCGATTTCTTAGTGTGAAGCCATTGCCCCAGTGGCTCTTTCTGTGCTGCCACATCTCACGTCTTCCTCCTGGTGACCGGCTCCACCCTAAGCTGGTCTGCCCATTGCCATGGCCATCAAGAGATGGGCATAGGAACCTCGCTGAGCCAACCAGAATCTCTCCCCAGGATTCTGCTCACTGGTGCTGGCAGGGAAATTGCTTTCCTTTCAAATTGCCGGGCTATAGAAATATATGCTCAAAGATGCCATGGCCAAGTTCTCTGATCCACCTGGAGAAAGCCAATTTGATCTTGACTAACAGGAGGATGTTATTCTAGCAAAGTGCACATTTTTATTTACCACATAAAATGGTCTACTTAGCCCTGGCTGATGTGGTTCAGTGGATTGAGCGCCACTCTGCGAACCAAAGGGTTGCTGGTTTGATTCCCAGTCAGGCACATGCCTGGGTTGTGGGCCAGGTCTCCAGTAAGGGGCACATGAGAGGGAACCATACATCGATGTTTCTCTCCCTCCCTTACCCTCTGTCTAAAAAAATAAACAAATAAAATCTTTTTTTTTTAAATCTACTTATTTTCCACAAAAGATAAAGGATTTCAAAATATGTGTTTCCAAATTTTCAATATAGATAGATTTTGTTACCATATTCTGGTAATATTTGTTTCTGCATCGTGGGTCCCAAGATTCCCTCCAGATTTGATGGTTGGCTAGAAGGACTCACAGGACTCAGCACATAGTTGTACTTACTAGCAAAAAGAATTCAAAGTAAAGTGAGCAAAGGGAAAAGACACATGCGGTGAAGCCCACAGGCAATTAGGTTCAAACTTCCCTCTCCCAGTGGAGTCACAAAGGACAAGATTATTTCAACCAGGGGTGAATTGTGACAACATGTGAGAAATGTTGTCTACCAGGGAAGTTCACTACAGACTCAGTGTCCAAAGTTTTTATTAGAGGCTGGTCACATATGCATCTTCTGCCTAGCACATACCTAAATTCCAGATTCCCAAGAAGAAAGCAGGTGTTCGGCATAACCCCTATTGTTTACACAAATAATTTGGGCATAATGAGGCACTCTTATCATATAATGAAAACATTCTATAAGTGTAGGAAACTGGTTACCATTCAAGTTCCCGGGTTCCACTCAAGGGCCAGACTTGTAAGCAGGCCATTCTAAAGACAGCGGCCTCAGGCCTGTAATATGAATTCATTTCTGCACAATTTCCCATTTAAGATCTAGAATATCATGTTATTTTTTCAAAATAGTAGAAGCAAATAAGGTAGAATTGTGTATGTACCTTCTCACTGGATTCCTTTTCTCTCCTTTTGGTCACTTCTTTTCTCTCTTCTCTAAGTTATAAAAATGTGAAAGTTAACTTGGGAAGAGGTTGGAGCAGGAATCCCTGCTTGAAGCTGAATTGTGTATTACAGAGGATACACTGAAAGAGCTGAGAGGCAATAAATTGATAACCAATACGCCATTGAGATAATCATGTGACCTTCCTTTAATCTGTTAATATGGTAAATTATAGGAATAGATTTTCTCATGTTTAACCATCTTTGCATTCCTGAGTTACAGCCAATTAGGTCATGAGCATTTTGGAGTTTAAAAACTGATAAATTGCATTTCTTAATATTTTATTTGGATTTTAAATTCATGTTTGTAATGAGATTGGTCTATAACTATCTTGTCCTGACTTTGGACTTGGTATCACAGAATAATTTAGATAGCTCGTTTTCTCTCCATTTTCTGAAATACTCTAATTGAGAAAGGGATTGTCAATTCTTGAGGGTCTGGCAAAATTTGCCCATGAAACAATTTGGAGCTTGTGTTTTTTGGAAAGGAAGACTATGGTTTGAGTGCAAGTTGGTTTTATTATGAATAGTTTCAAAGATATACAAAAGTAGAGAACACAGTTCGAAAATCACCCTATACCCATCACCTAAATGCAAAAATTATCAAGGTTTTTCCACATTTGTTTCACTTATTGTCTATTTTAAAATGTATTTTCTTTTTTCTTGGATGAAGTATTTTAAAGCAAATCACAGATAGATATCATGTGTTTTCATTCTTACATACTTCAGTATGCATCTCTAAATAAACCAAAGACGTTTTCATATATAATCAAAATTTCATGATCACATCTAGCAAAATTAAATATGTTTCCTTGGTTTCATCTAAAATTTAGACCATAATCAAGTTCCCCATATGGCTGTGTCAGAACGTGTTACACACTTGTTTGCAGGGAGACTTGTGATTATTAATTCAATTTCTTCAAGGGTTACTGGTTTATTCAGGCCTCCTACTTCTTTTGAGTCAAATGTGGTCATTTCTGTTTTCTAGAAAACGATTTATTTCATCGACGTTTCCCCACTAGCACTCCTGATTAGTTTTGTCAACGTCCTATCCATTGAAGTTCCAGCTGCCGATGTGATCCCACTCTGAGGTTACACACCCAGAATTATTACCAGAAAATTCCTACCAAGGATTCTCCTTCCTGGTAATCACAGCCAAACGAGTTTGTAAACTCCTTGGATACCAATTTTCTACCGCTCTGAGGATGAAGGAGGAGGTATCAGTCTTATTGCTGGATGCTAGGCCTGCCTTTTCACAGCAGTTTATTCACCTTAATCACAGACCAAATAGCATGCCTTACCTTCAAATCATCTGAAATGTAACTTCAATTCATAGGACAGAATAAAAAAATTTGAACAAGGAGGGCATTGGGAAGATATTTCATCCTGCTTATTTTACAGATGAAGAAACTGAACTTCGGGGAAATCAAAGAAAAAAAGTTGATCAAATGACTTCAACTTAAAAACTGCTTTGCACAGCCACCATCAAAACAATGAAAAGACAAGGCCCGGACTGGGAGAAAATATTCGCAATCATATATCAACAAAAGATTTGGATTCATAACATATATGTATCACCTACGTAACAAACATCTGTGTCTCCAACTCTCGTATTCAACAAGACGAAGAACCCGGTTTAAAAATGGGCAAAGGACTTGGACTGACTCATAAAAAAATGTAAAATTGCCATGAACAGAAACTATCCCAGTGACGTTGGCGCCACAGCGGAAGGAACACGCATCTCAGCCTAAAAGGCTTTTAAAGTGAATTGTTGAGAGAAAGAAAACGGGCCCAAAGGTATGCGGGCTTTCTCAAATCTCAACGACTTAATTGAAGCAATTGGCTTGCATCTGTCAACAGCGAAGCCTCGCGATATCTAGAGATACGCGGAAGCTCACGGCCCTAGAAGGTGGGGGGGGCAAGAGCCAGTAGAGAGCGCAGGTGCATCCAGGGCTCTCAGATTGGGCAACTCTCTCCACTAGTAAAGAGGACAGGGGCGGGACAATAAAGGACCAGCTCAGTTATAGGCGCGCCAGACTGCAGGCTTGTCTGGGCCTCTTAGACACGCCCACGTGCGCTTCCTTTCGGTTAAAGAGCCCCTCGGAGATTGTGTTCTCGCGGTATTTGTTCCGACTCTCGCGGGGTTTCGCGTGGCACCGGGAGGCTGGGCCCGGGGAAGGGGGTGGGGGGGGTCCGTTATCGGCGTTGGGGTCAGGCAGGTGTGGCGGCGCTTTCTCCTCCGTGCACGGGGAGCTGCTCAGGCTGGAGGCCAGCCAGGTGAAGAGCTCGCCCGCATGTGTGTGCGTGTAGTATGGGAGCTGGTGGGACCGGGGCGGGAAAGGGCCCCTTCTCACCCTCCCGCGCTGTCGCGACAGGGAGGCGCGAGGCGACCGAGGCTCGGGCGCCGCCCCGCCCCCGCCCTGGCCTCAGACCTGACCGCTTTCCTCCCCCTCTCTCCTAGCTCTTGCCGCCGCCTCGGTAGTGATGGGGGCGCAGGACCGGCCGCAGTGCCATTTCGACATCGAGATCAACCGGGAGCCGGGTGAGCCGGAGACTGGGGAACCCTGCTAGGGCCGGGCTTACTTTGGGGAAGGGGAGGGGTCTACCCCCATCCCAACTCTCCCCAAGCCTTTTTGGGAACGGGTAGGCACAGCCAACACTGTATTCCTCCTGAGCCAAAATCTATACGTAGGAGGATGGCTCGGGTACACCACTCCCACTGAACTCGGGAGTCTAGGCCTCATTCTCCCAAACTTCATGCCCTCTTGCACCCCCAGGCTGAGTGTTCATACCATCCCTGGAGCCAAGAAAAGAGGTCCAATCCATTTAGGATTTTTGTTTTACCCCAGTGATTCTAGGTGGCAAACATTTCCGATATTCTGTATTTCCTAATACTTGAGTATTAGTAATAGGTCCTACTTGGCCTCTATTATTCCTTAAGTATCCTTAGCTGGAATTTCTAATTTCTGGTTCATGGGAAAATCTCCTGGGGAAGTCTTCTGTGATAAACCAAAGCATTCTCTACCAGTGGACTTGCAGTATGCATGCACTTAGCATTAATGTTTTGTCTGCATATCTTGTTGCAAATAAAATATTTTCTTCTAAAGGGTTGTTGTTTCATTCTGAGTAGCAGAGCGTGCAGGGTTTCAAACTGTTTTCTTAGCTTTTTTTAGTATCTGTAACAGCACTTTTAATTGAAGTCGTATCTACAGTCTTTGTGCACCCTCTCGTTCAGCAAATTCTTATTGAGAGCCTCTTACTGTTAGATGGTTGGGGATATAGCAATGAATAAAACAAAGGCTTCTCATTTATATTCTCTTGGGGGAAGACAGACAGTAAACCTGGGTGGAAAATACAGTGGCTTGTAGTAGAGGTACTATTTTATTAAGTTGGTCAGTAAAGGCCATTTTGAGGAGGTGACATTTAAGCAGACATATGACAGAGATGAGGTGAGCCATGTGAATATCTTTGAGAAGAGCATTCCTGGTAGAGGGAACAGTTAATACAGGGGTCTTCGAGTGTAAGTCCTTATCTGTTTAAGGAACCTCAAAGAGCTGGGGAGAGGAGGGGAAAGAGTAGAGGGAAATGGCTATAGGCCATAGTATTTATAGCGAATCAAAGAGTCAGATAGCAGGGCTTGTGTTTTTTAAACAATTAAAAATAGCACACTCTTCAAAGTAGAAGTAAAATAAAGGTTCTGTAGCCATGTAAATTACTCCTTTTCTGGTACATGTTCATACCCTATAAAGATCTGTAAATAACCTTTGTTGTGAAAAATCTCTGGAGTATGTTTGGTGAACGTTGAATGAACTTCAGCCTCCAATATCCAAGGTAATTCATTATAATACCATCCGGGTAAAAGTGAATACCACTTTTTAGAAGACTGCATCATATGTGAAGCAGGGAACACTTAACATCATTCTAGGTCGAATCAGCTGGTAAAATTGGCAATTTCATATGGTTCGATCTCATGTAATACTTATCTAGCACTTTTCAGTAAATTAGATACTTGATTTTTTCACAGCTTTTAAGGATCACTTCAGTTGTTTGAAGGGTCTTTGTGGGATTTAACTATTAGTATGTTTGTCTTTGAGTACTTAGTCAAGGAATACTCAACCTCTTGTGTAGTTAACAAATTCACTTGGTAGGAGTAGTAGCTTTGATTTAATTTGATAAACAAAGGTCCTTTAAGAGTGACCATACTATCCACATTAATGAGATCAAGGAGTGTGGATAAAAATTGAGTTGAATGCTACACAGTATGGTTTTTTTGTTACTATCAGTGGAAATGTGTATATTTTGTATCAATCAAGTTAGACATTTCAATCAAAGTCACCAAATGAATGCCAAGTATATATCAAAAGAGGAAAAGTCTTTATGATATTTTTCTCTGTGAATCCAATAAGATGATTGCTTTCAGACATAATTCCAGGAATATTCCTTAGAAATGTTTTTGAGAAGGCTTTAAACTAAGATTTTCATTTCTTGAGTAGTTGGTTTTTCTTGAGTAATAACATAAAGAACCCTTCATGTTATTTCCCCTTGAGTGAGTTTTGGTAGTTTGTGTTTTTTAAGAAGTTGGTCCATTTTATCTAAGTTGTCAGTTTTATGGGCATAGAGTTGTTTGACACAGTCCCGTAATTGAATGGCATCTGCAGTGATAGCTCTTCCTCCATGTACCTTTTGTTTTTTTCCTTGATAAGTTTGGCTAGAGATTTATCAATTTCATTATCATTTCAAAGAACCAGATTTTGGTTTCATTTTTTTTTCCTATTTTCTGTTTTCAGTTTCATTGATTTCTGCTCTTTATTTCTTGTATAATGCTTGTTTTGGCTTTTTTGCTCTAGTTCTAGTTTCTTAAAGTGGAAACTTGTATTGTTGATTTGAGACCTTCCTTTTATAGTATAAGCATTTAATATTTTATGAATTTATAAATTTCCCTCTGTATGGACCCCAGACAATTTGCATACACCACAACTTTGTTATGTTGCTCATTTTATTTCAGTTCAAAATATATTCTAATTTTCTTTGAGACCAAGTCCTTGACTCATGAATGATTTAAAAGTGTTTTAATGTCCAAGTACTTGAATATTTTGTAGTTGTCTTTGTTAATGATTTCTAGTTTAATTCCAATACAGTCAGAGCTGTAACTAGTATGATTTCAGTTTTTTCAAATTTATTTTGGTTTTTTGTGTTCTTTTTTGGTGAAATTCCTATTTGCACTTGAAAAGAATGTATAGTCTGCTGTTTTTGTGTAGAGTGGTCTATAAATATCAATTAAATCCAGTTGGCTAAGAGTATTATTAAATACTTCTATATCCTGGCAGATTTTCTTGTTTACTTGTACCTAGAGCATTATAATTAAAATGGTTTCCTTGTAGATGAGCAAATAGGTCTTGCTTTTTATCTATTCTCACAATCTCTGTCTCCTAATTGCTATATTTAGACTACTTAAATTTAATATAGTTATTATATTAAATTTGGGGTTGTCTGTTCAATACTTGTTTTTGCTTCCTCTTTTTATGCCATTTTCTTTTATTGCCTTGGAGATTATTTGAACTTTTTTTTAGTATTTTTAATTTTTTACTGGATTTTTGCTGTCACCTCTCTAGTATGTTGCCTAAAGCAGGAGTGTGCAACCTGTGGCCTGCAGGCCATAGGATGGCTATGAATGTGGCCCAACATAAAATTGTAAATTTACGTAAAATATTATGAGATTTTAAAAATAGATTTTATTTATTTATATATGGGGGGAAGGGAGAGAGAAAGAGAGGGAGAGAAACATCGAATAGTTGCTTCTCATGCACCTCCCCTACTGGGGACCTGGCCCACAACCCAGGTATGTGCCCTGACTGGGAATTGAACTGGCAACCATTCAGTTTGCTGTCAGGGACCCAATCTATTGAGCCACACCAGCCAGGGCATAGTATGAGATATTTTGTGTGTGTGATTACGTGTTGCAATGCATTTAATGTGTGGCCCAAGACAACTCTTCTCCTTCCATTGTGGTCCAGAGACACCAAAAGTTTGGACACCCCTGCTCAAGAGGTTATCGCATGCATGTACACACACACGCTTTTTATAGTGCACTTAGAATTAATATTTTGCCATTTTAAGGGAAATGTTGAAAACATCCCTCCATATAACATTCCTTTACTTGTCATCTTATGCTGTATTTGTCATATGTATTACATGTACAAACATTGAAAACTGCTTTCAAACATTGCACATAACTTGAAAGAGCTTAAAAGGAAAAAAGTACTCTTTATGTTAACCTACATACTGTATTTACCATTTCTGTTGATACTTGTTCATTCTTATAGTTCCAAGTTCCCTCTGGTATCATTTCCCTTCCACCTGAGGAATGTTTTTTGTTTGTTTTGTTTGTTTTTTGTGAGAAAGTTGATTGGTTGCCTCCTGTATGCATCCCGACCGGGGATCAAATCTACATGCTTTTGGTGCACAGGAGGATCCTCTAACCAACTGAGCCGCTTGACCGGGGCTAAAGAATGGTTTAAGCATTGTTTAGAGCAGATCTCCTGGCAGCACATTTTCTTTTTTTCCTTCACCTGCAAATTTTATTTTGCCTTTTTTCTTGAAAGATATTTTCACTAGATATCGAACTGGGGTTGGCATGCACTTTCTTTTAGTACTTGAAAAATGTTCCATTGCCTTCTGGTCTGTGTCAGTTCTGATAGGAAATCGGTAATCATTCAGTTTTTTGTTACCCTGTTGTATGTAATGTGTTCTTGCTTGACTTTCAAGACTTTTTACTTTGTTCTTAGATTTCAGCAGTTCACTTGTGCTGTGTCGAGATGTGAATTTGCTTTCCTTTATTCTCTTGGGGGGTTTGCCGATCTTCTTGAATCTGCGTCTGTCTTGCCAAATGTAGGTAGTTTTCAGCTTTTATTTCTTCAAATGTGTTTTCTCTCCAATATTTTTAATCCTCTCTTTCTTGGACTTTAGTGACACAGATATCAGATCTTTTGATATGACCTTGCAGGTTCCGTAGGCTCTGTTCATTTTCAGTCTTTTTTTTTCTCCCTGTTTTTCATATTGGATAATTTCTATTAATTGGTCTTCAAGTTCACTGTCTTTTTCCTCTGTCATCCTCTGAGCCCACCCAGTGAATTTTAAATTTTTATTATTGTATTTTTCCATTAAAAATTTCTTTTTGGTTTTGCTTGAGGCTTCCTACTTTCCATTCATTTTTACTGGTGTTTATCATTACCTATTGGAGTATAGTTGTAATACCTGTTTTAAAGTCTTTGTCTAACAATCCCAACATCTGTATCATCATGGAGTTGCTGTCTTTGGTTGTCATTCTCCTTATGAGATTTTCATGGTTCTGATATCAAAAAGTTTGAAAACATTACTCATTTTGTAATTGTCGGAGACTTAAAGTTGGTTTTGAAAGTGATAACTAGGATGAATACTTGGCTTGGGATTTTCTCTTTATGTGGGCCTCAGAGCAGTATCGTAAAACCCTGGCAATTTATCAAAATAGATAAAAATGGGGATATAGTTGAAATGGGTATTTTT